TCCCTCCCTCCCCCATCCGTCCCTCCATCTCCTCCACCCCCCATATCCCCTCTATCCCTCCATCCCCTCCATCCCCCATATCCCTCCCTCCCCCCCTCCCCTCACAGGTCCTGCTGAGCAGCTCCCTGAAGTCCACGGTGTAGGACACCCAGTGCCGTGCGGGTAAGGCCCCGCGGAAGCCCCAGATGCTGACGGTGCTGGAGCGAGCGCCCGGCTCCGACGCCAGCCCCGTGAAGAACAGCGGCTCGGGGGAGAAGGTGTGGCTGTACCAGCACTGCCCCTCGTCCGGGGAGAACCTGGGGGGGACAGGGGGACACTCAGGGACCACCAGGGACCATCAGGGACAATCTGGGGTGTCCCAGCACTGCCCCTCGTCCAGGGAGAACCTGGGGGGACAGGGAGACACTCAGGGACCACCAGGGACAACCTGGGGGCACCAGGGGACAGTCAGGGACCATTGGGGTGAACCTGGGGGGCCCCACAGCTCAGGAACCCCCAGGGTGAACTCAGGGACCCCCCAAACCCAAGGGATGCCCCAAACACAGGGAGTCCCCAAAGCCACGGACACCCCAAAGCCCAAGGACCCCCAGAGCCCCCTCCACACTCACAGGAGGGTGCTGAGGGGGTGGATAGTGTTGAGGACCCCCAGGACCCTCCCCACAACCTCCACCACTCACAGGAGGGTGACACCCCCCCCCCACTCACAGCAGAGTGCTGAGGGGCTGGCTGGTATTGAGGACCCCCAGGACCCCCCAAGGACCCCCTCAGGACCCCATTGACCCGCCCACACTCACAAGAGGGTGCTGAGGGGGTGGATGGTTTTGAGGACCCCCAGAACCCCCCCAGAGCCCCCTCAGACTCACAGGAGGGTGCTGAGGGGCTGGCTGGTATTGAGGACCCCCAGGACCTCCCCAGGACCTCCCCAGACTCACAGCAGGGTGTTGAGGGGCTGGCTGGTGTGCTGGATGGCCACGAGCAGCCCCCCCGAGTCGAGGATGGCGTAGTGGTGGGGTCCCCTGAGGGTCCTGGCCCAGCTGTAGCCGCCGTCGTCCGAGATGTAAACGTCGGGGCTCATCACCGAGATGGCCCCCCCGACGCTCCCTGCGGGCTCACGTCAGGATGGGGGGCTCTGGGGGGGTCCCTGTGCCCCCCCCCCAGACCCCTCAAGCTCCCTGGGGGCTCAGGTCAATCTGAGGGGGTCCCTGCACCGCCCCTTGGCTCCCCCAACAGTCCCTGCAGGCTCAGTCTGGGGGTGTCCCTGTGTTCCCCCAGACCCTGCCAGTGCTCCCTGGAGGGCCAGGTCAGTCTGAGGGGCACTGGGGGGGTCCCCACACCCTCCCTCAGCCCCCCCAACACTCCCTGAGGGCTCAGGTAAGTCTGGGGGTGTCCCTGTGGCCCCCCCACGACCCTCCCAACACTCCCTGGGGGCTGTGGTCAGTCTGGGGGGCCCTGGGGGGAGTCCCTGTGCCCCTCCCAACACTCCCTGGGGGCTGTGGTCAGTCGGGGGTCCCTGGGGGTGTCCCCCCCACCCCGTACCGTGGGCGATGACGATGCCCACGGCGTTGGGCTCGGACAGGGGGGCCATGGGCACGTTGAGCTTCTGCGAGATGCTGTACGAGGCGTGGATGTGGAGGCTGCACTGCAGGGGGGGGGAATGTCACACAGGGGGCACTGGGACCACCACAGACCCCCATGGGGCACTGGGACCACCACAGACCCCCACAGGGCTCTGGGACCACCAAAGGCCCCCACAGGGCACTGGGACCCCCACGGGGCTCATGGGACCCCCCCACAGCACCGATGGGACCTCTCCGGGGCACTGGGATCCCCACGGCACCCACAGGACCCCCACAGCATCCACAGACCTCCCACGGCACCCCCAGGCCTCCCACAGAACCCCCATTATCCCCATGGGACCCCTCACAGCACCCACAGGACCCCCGTGGGGCACACAGGACCCCCACAGGACCCCCAGGATGCCCATGGCACCCCCATGGCACCCACGGGACCCCCAACCCCACACGGCATCCCTGGGACCCCCTTCCAGACCCCCCCAAACGCCCTCCCAGCCCCCCAGTTTGGGGGTCCCACATGGGGTTTGCACCCACCACCCCCCTGGGTTTGGGGGTCCTCTCTGGGGGTCCCACCCACCCCCTCCCCCTGCAGCCCTCAGCCTGGGGGGTCACTCTAGGGGTTCCACCCCCACTTTGGGGGTCTCCCCCCTCATTTGGGGTTTCCCTCTTCCTTTGGGGCCTTCCCCTTCCTTTGGGGTTCCTCCTGCCCTTTAGGGGTCTCTACCTACTCTTCGAGGTCCCCCACCACCTTTGGGGTCTCCTCCCTTTGGGGGTCCTGCCCCACTTTGGGGGTCTCCCTCCCTTTGGGGTCTCCCCCTCCCTTTGGAGGTTCCCCTCTCCCTTTGGGGGTCTCTCCCCCCACTCTGAGGTCCCCCTCCCCCCATTTTTGGGGTCCCCCCTCTCTGGGGTCCCACCTGGTCCCCGCTGCGGGCGGTGGAGTCGCAGGAGCTGTTGTGGGGTCTGCGCAGGGGCACCCACTGCCCCCCCCGGTCGAAGGTGATCACAGACTGGATGGAATTGTCTGGGATGGGGCACCAGGAATGGCAGGGAATGATGGGGGGGGTCAGCA